AAATAAATCAAGCATTCGCTTTAACGCACTCTGCTACAATGGTTAAATACAATAAAATACAGATGGAAACGCTGAAATTTACTTTGAAGAAAATCATAAAGAAATCTTAATCTTTGAATATTTTAAGCATAAGTACGAAATAATTAAAATTAAATAGGAACAAAACCAAAATTTACAAGGAAATGAAAGATTGAACAAAGCTGCTATAACAGCCGCTTGACAAACAAGAGAAATATGCCATCACTGGTGTTCACTACTTTATCGGCATTTTGGAGCCCCATATTCCAACCGATAACTAGACTCACAAATAGGGTGTGAAAAATTTGGGGCTCCACTCAAGAAAAGAAACGAAAGCGAAGATTTCGTTAAGTGGCAATGATGTAAATGAAGTTCACAAACAGTTCAATCTATTACTATAACGTGATCTATAAAATTCATGTTGATTTCTGAACATTGGTTAGTAGTCATATTGAAAATGCAACTTGGACGGATAAGAGATTCTTAAGCGGTGTAAACCCTTTGAAGATTATGACGATCAAAATTTTGTCAGATGACACCCACTGCAAGATACGAATAAACGGGCGTGAGTTTCGACTACCGTATTCAGACAAGACTGTTTCCAACACTGCTAACCGTATTCAAAACTAATCATCGCGACTTGTGAAAAAAACAAGTGTTGTGGCTGAAGAGGATTATCTAATGCAGTCAACATGTTGTTCCTATGTCTCATACCATGCGGTATGAAATTGAACCAGTCTATAAATCTTGCTACTTAACGGCAGTCATTTCAACAGGTTTATCTGAGTGCATCCTTGATAAAGATATTTCAATAAATGAGAAAACAGACTGTATTGATGCGGTTAGTAATTTGAATATGTAAAATAAGTTCTGCCATATTTCGAGAATTTCAAACAACTCAAGTTTTTTTTGATTAGGTAAACCATAATTTACACCACTTTATGATGGGAGAAGCATATTTTAAATCTCGAAGTAACTGGGAAGCGGTGACGTACGCATTAGTTTCTAAAATAAATTGCATAATCAGCAACGATATGCGAAGTTCGATATTCTAAGTATCTGCGAAACACGTCCCATTATCGACATCCAATAAACACACAGTAGCACGCACAGAGTACTTTCTTCGTGGACGAATCGGATTTCCAAACATTTAAATCTATCAAAATGACAATGAATAACAACACGACACAATCAAATTCTTATTTGAGTTTTATCCCGAGATACTTCTTCCCGCTTCTAACGTATGCGAAAAACGATTACACACAAGAAAGATGGAATGACGGCAATATCTCACTAGCTTTCAGGCTCCGTTACCCAAGTTGCCGGCCCGTGGTTTACTTAAAAATACATACTTTTTGTCTAGTTTCTCTTCACTGTTGCAAGTAAGAGTTTCTTGCTTCGTCGGTATCGCAAATGAACAAGATTTTGAACCTTTTTAAGTAATTGTTTCGTTACGAGCAAATACGGTTAATTCTTTGCTGTATTAGCGACCGTCAAGTAAAGAAGTATTGTTCGGTTTCTGAAAAGCAGTTCCAAATTGTTTCACTAAACTGTATCAAAAAACTGCCGATGAGAGTAAAACTTTATATGGCACCCCTATTTGTTTATTAGTGCTTTCCTTGAAATTGATTTTCAAAATAGTTTTATTGGACATTTCGAGGAAGCATGATTAACGGGGTGATTTCTAGATATCGTGATATTAGGTCGTGTGTGCCCAGTCTTCTTTTAGGTTGAACTATTGGTAAAATTTGTTTGTTGATCGCATAATTTGCAGCAATTCATGCATTTGTAGTCAAGGAGCATTATCGTCTTCTTGAACGTGCGAACACATCAATAAGTCGTAGTTTTTCAAGAGCTCTTGGGAATTTCATCCCTTTTGAAGGCAACGAGCTGCCGTCTGCGTGTGAGAAAAGTAGCTGTGATTCAGATGACACTTGTGCTGGCTGGTAAATTGTAGAGGTGACTGGAAAAAATTTTAACGCATTCAAAGTGCGAGGCTTCTGAATGGTCATGGAAAACGGCGTGCACGTGTAATTCTCGTTTGCATCAAACACTCCACATGTACTTTCGTGAGTATTCAATAACATTGTTTGTTCCGAGATTTCTTTGATATTCAAGCTAATGATTTTCGGTTATTCTGGCAGACAATAAAATTTCTGCATCTGCAAGGCTTTTGCAACGAGTGCAGGATGTCAGCATTACGCGTGTTATTGTCGAATATGCCAAACCGCTGGCCATTTTGCACGGCCCCAGGTTGCGAATTGTGAATCGACCTCCAGATCATCAGGTTAACTACAAGATGCTAGCAGTTGCGGATAAGCGTTTCTGAACCCTGCAAGGCGTGTCTTTGTATGAACTAAAGAAGTGCGATCCTTGGTGAAATGGTCACAATATCCTTTTGCCATCTCATGGCTACCCGAAACCGACCCTCACTTTTGAATAAAATCACCGTTGTTTCTCAATTAAACGTCTGTTTGTCCTAGCTAGAGGAGACAACACCGGATTGATGGACTCGTCTGTAGGAGAATACTCGAGCCATCGACAACCTAGCCAGCGGATGGCGAAATTTTATTCTCTATGACAAAACGAATATTTTATTTTTTAACCATTAGGATCTATGGAGGTGAGTGGATTTCATATAGACTGATCCTTGAATGACGAATCTCTACCGAAGAACAGTATGCGTTATGTGTGCGCGTCTTTGTCTTATGCGAGAGTTGATGCGGACCGTTATGTAACGTTATAGCTTTATCAATACTCTGCAGAGCGAGATGTTCGAAGACTTTCAGTAGTGCGGATGTTATCGTTACTGGCGGAAAAGCAGCCGGGTCAGATAGATGGCTTTCTTTTATGTAACCATGGTCAGGATTGATATACGCCGGGAAGAGGGAATATACGACCTCGCCAAGCAGCGTTTGTAGATTCCGGAAAAAATATCACAAACTTTCGTACAGCACCGTGATACCAGCGTGGAAGTACCAAATTAAGGCCAGCGGCCGAGACTTGATTAGGCAATATTTAATTATTACAATGTTAGCTGGACAGCAGGTTCGTGGAAACCGTCTCC